AAATCTAGATTTTGTGTTATAAGTCGACTCATGCACAAGTATAAGTCGACTTATGGTAAGTCGACTTGTGTCTGTGCACGAGTCAACTTATGATCTGTTCTGGAATTGTTGGTTTTGGCTTTGTCAAGTCGACTTATTAGGACTGTTAAGTCGACTTACGTTCTGTTCTCCAGTTGATGTTTTTCGCTCTGCCAAGTTAACTTATAGCCCCTGATAAGTTGACTTATAGCGGGTTTTCTGCACAGTTTGAGTTTCTATTTGGATTCTGTTTGGGTTTCTATTTTGATATAAATAGGAATATGATTTTGAGGGTTTGAAAGCAGTGAATTGGGGATATTTGGAGCATAGAAAAATAATATTTTCTGAGTTATTGGTTAGGATTTTGTTTGGAGAGAATTAGAGATTTGTTGGTGAGATTAATTGGTGACTTTGAGTGATTTATAATCTTAGTTTGTACTCTTCTTCTCTATTAGTGAAAACTCCATCCTCTTCTTGCCCCGTGGACTCAGGTAACTTGCCGAACCACGTAAAAATTGGTTGTTTGTGTGTGTCGTTATTTTGGTTTGTTTGGCTTTCTCTCTCGGTGTTTGTTTGGTTTGGTTTCTCAAAGCACATAGGTTTGTGTTTTGGCTTCCGAAGCACAACAAGTGGTATCAGAGCTTGGGCTACGCGGTGAGTTGGAGGAGTATATCGCTTTAGAAGTTCGTCTAGGGCTTCAGTTGGTGATAAATGTGGAATTTTTTCCTATTTGTGGATCTCGTTTCCGTCGTGCGGGGTGAGATCTTTCGGAGGGTCTTGTTAGGGTTTCAATTGGAGATAAAAATCTCTCCTTTATCAGTTTGGATCTATTCTTTATTTGTTCCATATTGCTTTGTTGGTTCTTTGAGATAGATGACCAAGAAAGAAGGAGTTGAGCCTGAGATATTGGATTATTGAGAAGTGCATTGACATGCATATTGAAGTCCTTTGAGCACATTGGTATGAGCAAGGAGATCAAGATGGAGTTTAGCACTTCTATTCGACGATTGAGAGGTCTTCTAGGTGGTGTTTATTCAGGCATTTGGGGACCTTCTAAGGAGGCATTATTGGAAGGTAATCGGTATTTAGTTTTTGCAGTTGGGGACTGTTCTAGGCATTAGTGGGTTGCAACCAAGTCCCGTTGGTATGAAGTCCTAGAAGTCAACAACAGATGGAGGAAGTGTATTGGCAAAAAGGTAACGTGTTATTCTGTTTTTGGTAGGGTTCTTTCTTACGTTTGTGCCGAGATCACGGTAGTTTGAGATAATTTATTGGAGAGGAAACATTAGGGCGACGAAATGAGATGACAGTTTTGATAGATCGTTCCTTACTGGAGGAGGATCAACGTTTGATGTTGAGCATTAGTTTTGGTGTTCAAGCTTCAACATATTTGGGTCATCTTAGTCATAGGTTGCCGACTGATATGTGTGGAGATTTTGGATCTAGTGGAGCTGCTTCAGATTTTGGGTTGAGTCGGATGTTTGGTTGCCCAACATTTGGTCACATCGAGAATGTGAGATTTGATCTGATTGCATGTTTGGGATTCAGATACTCGTTTAGTTATCAGTTGGGAGACTCTAATTTTGTTCTGAGCATGTATGTCACATTTGACTCTCGGTAGGTGGAGAGTGTTGATCAGATCATTAGGATATCACAGCGGGTAGAGGGTGATGCTACTCCATATTAGGTGGATATTACTCCATATACTCAAGATCATACTGCATCGTTTGGAATTCCAGCTGAGGTGACACAGTTTAGGGATCATGGATGCAGATGATGAGTTAGTTAAATCGAGTGTAGCTGGTGGATATAGTTTCGATTTGGATATGATCGTTGGTTCATCTCAGGTGGAGGTGTTTAGTTTGTTTTATTTTGGGGCCATTGGAAGAGATATCAGTCGCAACTTTGTTGGTGAAGAGTTGAGAACTCTTCTATTTGATTGAGGGCCTTTGGAGGCCGTTGGGTGAACTACGTGAATGTTTGATTCCTTAGGCAAGAGGATATGTAGGCAGTCATTTATGATGCAGCTGGTTTGGTGAGTAGATACTGATGTTTGGAGAGTGATCACGTTCTCATTTTAGTTTTGACTTGTGGATTAAATCCGTTGTCATGATTTTGTTCCACTTTGTACTAGACACAACAAGTGTAATGTTTGGTTGATATTAGTATCGGCTCGGTTTTGGGAAAACTTTGTCGATGTGGAGATTTGTGGAGAAATTTGAAAAATCTAGATTTTATGTCATAAGTCGACTCATGCATAGACATAAGTCAACTTATTGTAAGTCGACTTGTGTCTGTGCACGAGTCGACTTATGACCTATTCTGGAATTGTTGGTTTGGGCTCTGTTAAGTTGACTTATCATGATTGTTAAGTCGACTTACGTTCTGTTCTCCAGTTGGTATTTTTCGCTCTGTCAAGTCAACTTATAGCCCCTGATAAGTCGACTTATAGTGGGTTTTCTGCACACTTTGAGTTCCTATTTAGATTCTGTTTGGGTTTCTGTTTTGATATAAACAGTAACACGATTTTGAGGGTTTGAGAGCAGTGAATTGGGGATATTTGGAGCATAGAAAAAAGGTATTTTCTAAGCTATTGATTAGGGTTTTGTTTGGATAGAATTAGAGATTTGTTTGTGAGATTAATTGGTGAGTTTGAGTGATTTGTAATCTCAGTTTATACTCTTCTTCTTTATTAGTAAAAACCATCAGCACTTGTTGTGCTTTGAGGAACCAAACCAAATGCCGAAAGAGAAGGCCAAACAATCAAAAATAAAGGCACAAATACAAACAATCAATTTTTACGTGGTTCGGCAAGTTGCCTACGTCCACGGGGCAAGAAGAGGATGATGTTTTCACTAATAGAGAAGAAGAGTATAAACAGAGATTACAAATCACTCGAACTCACCAATTAATCTCACCAACAAATCTCTAATTCTATCCAAACAAAACCCTAACCAATAGCTCAGAAAATATCTCTTTTCTGTGCTCCAAATTTCCCCAATTCACTGCTCTCAAACCCTCAAAATCATGTTACTATTTATATCAAAACAGAAACCCAAACATAATATTTGTAATTTTTATGATGCTATTTGTAATTTTTATATTTTTCTAAAGATAATATTTGTAATTTTTATATTTTAGATTTTTTTGTACTTTTTATATTTTTAAAGGAGTCTAATTGTACTTTTATGCTTTTTAAGGGGTTCGTCGGTAATTTTCTTGATTTTTAGAATCTCTTTATAATTTTTTATCATTATTACTGATTGTAAATTTTTTTAGTCCAGAAATTCATTGTTTTCAAAGTTGTTGGCAAGAGCAAATATCCTTGTAACATCTATATGTGTGAAGATGATAGCTAGTGGAAATGTAATTTTGTTTAACAACTATATTAGTGTGACACCCCCACTTTAGTCTTACATGAACTAGTGTGAAGAAATATTAGTGGTTTAAATAGAGAAAAACCCAAAGCCCAAGAACAACTAGTGCTAGCATTTTGGCAGTGGACTTAAGCCAACATAGAGTTGCTCTTGGTGGGTCTTACGGCTTGCATAGTGCTAGCATTTTGGCAGTGGACTTAAGCCAACATAGAGTTGCTCTTGGTGGGTCTTACGGCTTGCACGGGCATGTTGCACGTGTCAACATGCCCGTGCATGATAGTTAGAGATAGGGTTTTCTCAAAATAATAAAACTATCATTGAAAATATCTATGTAGAAACAAGCAAATATGCTTCAAAAGCCCTATTTATCTATCTAGTGTTAATAATGCATTATGTTCCAGTATAGGCACCAATCAAATATGCTTCACAGGGCCTATTTGAGAATGAACCAGAGTACTTATTCAATTGAAGCAGCTCAGTGTTATTCTCGACAAATGTCACCTCATAACAGCGCATCGTTTATGTTTTATGAGCATACGCTCCTACTTTTTGTTATCGGTGAAAAATTATATTCCATTAACCAAATATGAGAAATATACATCCTCAAATATGAGAAATATCCCATCAACTAGGAAAGTTCACAAGACACTACCAAATAAAAGACCAACAACTGCCTACACTTTGTTAAAAAGAAAAAAGAATTACATCTTGATATTCAGGGAGTATCAGATGATGAAGTACAGAATTAAACACCAAAGTCTTTATAAGTTTCACTAAAACCTGAGGCTCATGACTTCTCCCTCATTCATTCTCAAATTTCTCCAAAGTCTTTATAAGTTTCACTAAAACCTGAGGCTCATGACTTCTCCCTCATTCATTCTCAAATTTCTGTCCACGTCACATAAACTGTCGAGGCAAAGCACATCTTTTGATCGGATGCAAGTAATTCCCTCCCCTTCAGTGATCAGCAAACTAATTGAGAATTGCTTCAATCCCCATGAGTCATTAGCTCTAGCTCTTCAACTCTTCAGTGATCAGCAAACTAATTGAGAATTGCTTCAATCCCCATGAGTCATTAGCTCTAGCTCTTCAACTCCAGACATTTTTGCATTTTATTCACAAATCCATTTCACCCGTAGGAAGTCCTCCTTAGCACATAGAGCTGATAGAAGTTTGGTAATGGCTAATGTGCTTCATTTCTCAGCAGAGAATATCCCTAGAACCCCTCCTTTATGATGACAGCAGATATTGGACAAACAACCAGAGTAACTATGTTAGACAAAATTACAGCATGCACTAGGTCTAAGGGAGATGTCCAGTTCGTTTAAATTAGAATCGCAAGTGCATTTAGAAAATTATCTTTTTCAAGGATATAACCTTAAAACCATTTCACGTTTCAAACATGTAGAGTTTTGGATGAAAATTAGGGTTAGTTTTTCTCTCATAGAGAGATACCCCTTTTATATAAGAGCATGTAGAGTTTTGGATGAAAATTAGGGTTAGTTTTTCTCTCATAGAGAGATACCCCTTTTATATAAGAGCACTCTTACAAATAGGTCCTTACAACATTGACTAATTACTATCTAAATAACTCAACACTCCCCCTCAAGATGGGCGATAGATATCAATCATCCCCATCTTGTTACAAAAGATATCATACTCTCTAGAACATAATCCTTTTGTTAAACAATCAGCTAACTGTTCTTCTGATTTCACATAGCTCAAAGTTAGAACTCCTCTATTCAGTTGCTCTTTGATAAAGAACCGATCGATCTCCACATGTTTGGTGCGATCATGCTGAACTGGATTGTTTGCAATATTAATCGCCGATTTGTTGTCACACCAAAGTTGTAAGGAGTCTCTTCTAAACAAGCGCAGCTCAGATAATATGTTTTTGACCCACATCAACTCGCACAGACCAACTGCCATAGCCCTGTACTCCGCCTCAGCTGTAGACCTAGCCACCACATCTTGCTTCTTGCTACGCCAAGATACGAGATTGCCTCCAACAAATACACAGTAGCCTGTAGTGGATCTACGATCATCCATACAACCCGCCCAATCAGCATCACAGTAGCCTTCAATTCTCAGATGTCCAGAACTTCTGAACCACAACCCCTTTCCTGGGCTTCCCTTAATATATCTAAGAATTCTGCGAACTACCTCCATATGCTGTTCTCTGGGATCATGCATATATCTACTCACCACACTCACTGCATGAGTAATATCAGGTCTCGTATGGCATAAATATATAAGTCGTCCAACTAATCTTTGATATTGCTCTTTACTCACTGGGTCACCACCCTCGGCACACATCTTATGATTCTGCTCGATAGGAGTAGATGCAACTCTGCACCCCAACATCCCTGTCTCTGAGAGAAGATACAGAGCATACTTTCGCTGAGAAAGCACTATACCCTTTCGCGACCTTGCAATTTCAATTCCGAGGAAGTATTTTAACTGCCCCCGCTGAGAAAGCACTATACCCTTTCGCGACCTTGCAATTTCAATTCCGAGGAAGTATTTTAACTGCCCCAGATCTTTAACTTCAAATTCCTCTCCCAATTTCTTCTTCAACCGTAGGATTTCTTCAACATCATCTCCAGTGATTACAATATCATCAACATAGACCGCCAGAATAGTGATACGAGTTTTGGAGTGCCTATAAAACACAGTATGATCTCCATTGCACTGCTTGTACCCCATACCACAGACTGCCAACCTGAATCTGTCAAACCATGCTCTCGGAGACTGTTTTAACCCATACAAAGACTTCTTCAACTTGCACACCTTCCCAGCTACTTGAGAAGTAGCGAAACCTGGTGGAATCTCCATATACACCTCCTCCTGGAGATCTCCATGAAAAAAGGCATTCTTGACATCTAGCTGATGTAGTCACCAATTGAAGTTGGCAGCACATGACACCAACACTCTAACAGTGCTCATCTTTGCTACTGGAGCAAATGTCTCGTCATAGTCAATGCCATACGTTTGACTGTAGCCTTTAGCAACCAATCTGGCTTTGTATCTGTCGATCTTGCCCTCTGGAGTTTGCTTAACCGTATACACTCACTTACATCCAACAGCACGTTTCCCTGCTGGCAGAGGTACCAGCTCCCATGTATCATTCTTCTTCAAAGCCCGAAGTTCCTCTTGCATGGCACTCAACCACCTAGGGTCTTGCTTAGCGACCTGCCAGTTGTTAGGTACATGCACTGAATGCAAAGATGCAATGAATGACTTATATGCAGGTGGAATGGATGCATATGAAATATAATTCGCAATGTCAGTATCCCAACTACCAAACTTAGCTGGAGGATTTCCAGCATTGACTCTGGAGGTTCTACGAGGCAAGACGAGAGTATTAGAAGTATCAGGGAAGAACTCGTTACCTATCGATTCAGGTGGAGAAGTCACTGGAGAGGGGGGACTTGGGACATCAACATTTGTGGGCACTGGCATAGGCACAGGAGGCGGCTCATGTTGCTGTTTCTGTCTCCTCGTGTATACTCTCAGCTCCCCCTGACCTTGACCGTCACCTCCTGAGTCGCCACCACTACTCGTTGGTGTACCATCACTGCTCGGTGGCTCAAGAGGACATGGAATCATCCCAACCACGACGTCATTTTCATTCTCAATTTTATTCCCATTCTCCCCCCCCTCTACTAGCATTAGTCGAGTCATCTCCAAACAAGGAACTCAACTCCGTCTTCTCCCCATAAAAAGGTTCAAACTCCCGAAAAGTCACATCCATACTGACAAACAATCTTCTTTCAGTAGGATACCAACACTTGTATCCTTTTTGGCTTGATGAGTAGCCAACAAAGATACATTTAACTGCTTGTGGATCCAGTTTACTCACCATCAATCTGTGATCTCTCACATAACATGTGCATCCAAACACTCTTGGTGGAACAACAAAAGCATTCAAGCCCAAAAGCATCTCACACGGTGTCTTCATCCCTAATACTCTTGATGGCATTCTATTGATCAAATAAGCTGCCGTCATGACAGTCTCACTCCATAAAAACTTAGGCACATTCATTGTCAACATCAATGAGCGAGCCACTTCCAGTAGATGTCTGTTCTTACGTTCAGCTACCCCATTTTGAGCAGGGGTGTCTGGACAAGTGGTTTGATGAAGGATTCCCTGACTAGAGATGAAAGTGGCAAACTCCTTGTTGACATACTCAGTCCCATTATCTGTTCGGAGAATCTTCACCTGCGTTCTAAATTGTGTCTTCACATAGGCCGAGAAGTCTTGAAAACATTTGTAAACCTCAGATTTTTGTTTCATCATGTATATCCAGACCATACGTGAATAACAATCAATGAAAGTAACAAACCATCTAAAACCACTAATAGAGGTAGTAGGACATGGTCCCCAGACATCAGAGTGGACAAGTGCAAATGGTTCACAACTTCGAAGACCAATCATTCTATAAGTAGAACGAGTATGTTTTCCAAGTTCACAGGCATTACAAAATAACTCTTTTCTATCCACTTTCTGCATTAACTCAGGTTCTAATCTATTTAAACTCTCAAAAGATAAATGCCCTAACCGACAATGTTGAAGCATCACTTCTGCCTCTGACCCTCCGCTAACAGCAGTAGCAATCATTGCAGTCTCCCTGTCCAAATACCAAAGACCATCACGTCTGATGCCAGTCCCAATCCTCCTCCCCGTTTCCTTCTCATGAAAGACACACAAATCTCGATCAAATAACACGGTGCAATTTAATTGATCAATGAGAGAGCTAACTGAGAGTAAGTTAACTGGAAACGAAGGAACATGCAATACAGATGACAAGGTAACAGATGAAGTGCAATGGACCGAGCCAGTACCCTTGATGGATTGGGATGTCCCATCAGCAGTCTGAACTGTCTCAGGATGCATATGCTTACTCGGATAATATAATGCAAACTCACTAGATGCTCCTGTGACATGCCTAGATGCACCTGAGTCTATGATCCAATCAACATGAGTTTTAGTGGATGCAAGTGCCTGTACCTGTGTACCTTTGTTCGCATGAGCATAACCAATAACGTTACCAAAGCATGTAGTGGTAGCCAGATCCTGGTTGACTTGTCCCTTGCCATTCGAACTCTCAGCCTGAAGCTTGAACAGACGTAGTTCCTCCAGCTCTGTTATTTGAGCTCCAGTCATCCCAGTAGTAGTCTGAGACTCATCTGCCACAGCTAGGTGAGTAACTCCTTGGCCTACATGCCCCCTTCCTCCTCGACCTGCACGGCCACCAGTCCGACCACGTTCACCCCAGTTCCTTTCCCTGGGTGGCTTAGGGCACATCTGTCTTAGATGCCCTACCTCTCCGCAGTTGAAGCACTGCCTAGTTTCCCTTCTGAATCCAGTGTTATCCGGGTTGGATACCACTAGTGCAGACTTCTCCCCTGTAAGTCCACCTATCCCAGACTGTAGCCTGATACGGCTCTCCTCCTGTATCATGGCCGAGACTACCTTCTCCAGTGGTGGGATCTTCGTCTGAGTTAGTAGCAATGTCGTACTCTGCTCATACGCTGGAGCCAAACCTCGAAGAAATAACATGGTCCTCTTCTGTAAAGAGGCCTCGCTATCCTTACACTCCGGGTCCTTGCAGCTCGCTAGGGGCGAGAAGTGATCGTGATCGAGCCACAAGCGCTCCAGCTCTGTGGCGTACTCCTGTACAGTCCTCTCTCCCTGGACTATAGCGCTGATCTCCTTCTCAATCTGAAATACCCTTAGGTTATTCAACTTCTTGATGATCTCCTCCATCGAATTTTTTCAGTCTTCGTCATCGATCCAACTTGTATTCTTGTGGTGCGCAACGAAAAATTCCAGCAGCACTTCGACAGCACAACAAGAGAGATAGATCAATAAGAATTCCTGTTTCACCAAGGAAACAAGAACCAAAAGCAAGATATCTCAACAAAGTGAGATATCAGCTCTTCTCTCATCAGTTCTAGGACTGACTTGTCGAGGGAACCTAAATAAGCTATTACAGATTAAGAACCAAATAGATCTACTTAATCACCTAATACAGACTCATCTTTTAATCAAACTATTTAATCACAAATCCCATCTTTTTAATCCCTGGTCCCCTTTCTCTTCCCCTCTCTTTCAGCAACAAAATCCAAGATTTTCCCTTTTTTTTTGTTTTTTTTAAAAAGAAACTAAGACACTTCCTCCGTCCTCATCATTCCTGTGAAGGACAACTTTTTTCCCCTTTCTTCTCTAAGTCCTCCGTCCTCATCATTCCTGTGAAGGACAAACTCTTTTCCTCCTCTCTTCTCTAAGTCCTCTTTCCTCCGTCCTCATCATTCCTCGAAAGCTCTCCCAGATTGCTCTAACCCAACACGAGCAGCCGTCCTCTACCCCAGAAAATATCCTCCGAAGAAAGAGAGACAAACTCCATTTCCGTCTCGTCCTCCTTCACCTCGACCGCTGCCTGCGACGCCGGA